CGCGTTCTTCACGCAACAACGTGCAGAAACACGGCAACTAAACTCTAAAAATTCACTGCGTTTTATTATAATAGTGTTCTCATTATAATTGTGTATGACCGTCCCAGTCATAGTTATTAATATTCTGCATTGTTGTTTGTCCTGCTCGCGCAGCACGCTAAAGAGATAATCACCGTAGTACTACAATGAAGCGCTTTACTGCAGTGCAACTCAAACACGTTAAAATATTTATTTGAATCTTCTTTCTTTTCAGATTCTTATTTACATCATTATCATAATAGGCTGTATATTAACTTATTGGGAGAAAAACAGTAGTTCTATGTGAAATCAGACATTTCAGCACCCCTATATATATATATATATATATATATATATATAGTAAATAAACATAATAAAGTGTGTGTGTGTGTATATATGTATATATATATTTTTCAATAATTTGTATTTATATTTACTAAAAAAAAATTCTTTTCCGTGGCTGTAGGAGATCTAAACATGAGAGTGAATGAAGCAGTACTTCAGGGAGAGTTCAAATCCCATCAGTGGTTTGGAGCAACAGTACGAGTGCATGAAGATAGTGTGCTGGTAAGATCTTCTTACTCATATTTTATGCTGTGTGGAAAATAGTCAGTATAATAGTCAGACGTAAACCCTCGTTCAAATCATGACAAACCATTATTTCCTCTTGAACATTTGTGCTTGAACCCAAAGTATGGTTGGTGACTCAAGTCTAAGTTCATGTTCTTAAATTAACTTTGTAAGGCTCAAATGATAAATAATCAGATCAGATCCTGCTCTATTAATTTGTTATAGTCTTCAGTTTTCCTTCTGAATTTTAACTTTCTGACTCTTTGGCTTGTGGATAATGCTGTAACATCAAAAGTCCAGGTGCTGTTCCTCATGGATTATGAAACTGTGAACTGAATTCATCATGGTTGCTTTACTCTTTACTCATGTGGGCGTTTTTTGTCAATGGAGTTGACCTTTAACCTCTAGTATTATCCTTTCCATAGGCTTGTGCCCCCCTCTACTCCTGGAGAACCATGGAGGACAAGCCTCATGCTGATACTACTGGCTCATGTTTTCTGTCCGTCAAAAACTTCACTAAGTTTGTGGAATATGCTCCATGCCGCACAGGTGGACTTGCAGTTGCTTTGTTGTGGCACTTTTCAATTTCAGTTGTTTTGAAGTCACAGTAACATAACTTGCCATCCATTGCAGAATTCCGTGGAAGAAAAGGTCAAGGCTACTGTCAAGGTGGATTCAGTGCTGATTTTACACGGGTAAGATGATATTGCAACTGAATAGAACAAAATGCTTTGCTTATCTGCTGTTTCCTTCTGGTCTCACCTAGATACTAATGCTGTGTTACAGGAAGGAAAGGTGGTGCTTGGAGGACCTGGCAGTTACTTCTGGCAAGGTTTGGCTTTTAAAATAAAAACACTTGTTTTAGAATAGTCTTTAAGGGCTTATAACTTAAATACTAAAAAAAAGTAAAGAAATTAACACTTTTATTCAGCAAAGTTGCATTAAATTGATCAAAAGTGACAAAGACATTTTTAAATTTACAAAGCATTATTTTTTATTAAAGACTCTTTCAAATAAATGCTGTTCTTTTGAACTTCTTATTAATCAAAGAATCCTTAAAAATGCATCATGACTTCCCCCAAAAAATATCAAGCAGCATAACTGTTTTCAACATTGATAATAATAAGAATAGAATGATTTCTGAAGTATCATGTGACACTGAAGACTAGATCAAATACAGCTTTGCCTTCACTGGAATAAATTACATTTTAAAATATACAAAAACAGAAAATGGTTCTTTTAAATTGTGATAGCATTCACAATATTACTGTTTTATGGTATTTTTAATCAGACAAATCTTACAAGAAAAAAATCTTACAGACTTTAAACAGTAGCTTGTGTACCTTGCACAACTTGGGGGGAAGTCGTGGCCTAATGGTTAGAGAGTCGGACTCGTAACCCAAAGGTTGTGGGTTCGAGTCTCGTACCGGCAGGGATTGATTAGCTTTCCATCAAAATGTGGATATTTGCATTTATTATTTGCATCGACTGTGACCTTTACCTCAATGCAAATGCAATTAAAAGATCAATTTCTCCTAACCATCTCTAGGCCAAGTGATCACTGCTGTTAAACAAGAAATAGTCAAAGCCTATTACCCAGGATTCTTCTTGACCTCAGTGGAAGGCCAGATTCAGACCAAACAGAAAAAGGAGATCACATTTGATGACACCTACATGGGTATGTCTTTCCATTCCCCTTATTAGCTGTCAAGTTGAAAATACTTTGAATTTTCTGTTTGTCACGACCAATATTTTTATACGTTCAACAGGTTACTCGGTGGCTGTCGGCGAGTTCAGTGGTGATGATGATGAAGGTGAGTGTTGTGACCTTAAAATATAAAACCTCTACATTATAGTGCTCATTAGATTACGGTTTCCCTAGATTATTTTGATGTCATTTTTATTATATTCACTAAAGATGGAGATAGAACGACGGTGACTGTGTTGTACCACAGATAGTGATTTAATATCATCATCTGCTGTTGGAATAGCCATAGACGGATGTAATAAATCCATGCACTGTTTGTAGAACATTTCAAAGGAAGTGTTATGAGTATACCCTCTTTATGAATCCATTACACCTAAACAAATTCGAAAATAGAGCCTGTGGAGTGATTTGGAGTGCCTCTGATTGCCAGAATTCCTGAGGAACTCACATTTCCATGTTTCCACTATTAAATCTTTCTCTTTTTTCCTCTCTTTTTTTTTTTGGCTCGCCTGCTTTAAGACTTTGTGACTGGAGTTCCCAGGGGAGTCAGACTGCATGGACAGGTGAGAGAAAGCAGTCACACTATCAACTGTGACATTTAGCCAGAGAACTTTTCACCCAAGATGCGGGGTGAAGTCAGATTTTCAGTGCATTAAATACTGTATGACCCATTACACATCCACTATAGTATGACTTTTAGTTTGGAGTTGGTAATCAACCAGAGATTTTTATGATGGTACTTGATGGAATGA